TGAAATAATACGATATTGATAAGGAATAATTATATGTGTATAATAACGTTGAAAAAACGATTTTGATATGGATGATATATTAATTTTGATAGGAAAATTTGAATTAGTAAAAAGTTTTCGAAATCGTATATTAAGATCGAAGAAAGATTGGTAAACATGCAAATAGTCAAGATATTCAGATATTTCATAGATAATTTCATTCGATAAATCTTCAAAATGAGTAATAGATTCTCTTGATAAATTCAAACAAATTCTATCATCGAACTCGTCTGTTTCAACTGTTTTTACTAAAAAATATAGATATGGTAAGGATAACATTCCAAAACAACTTTTACCTTTTATTTTTCTTCTCTTAACATCATCAGAATTATGAAACCTACTAGTCCGTAATCTTTTTGTTTTTTCCATAACAAAATGAATTGAAAAATTGTTGTCTTATAAAAAACAAAAATGTATATAAGACATCATTCTCTTTCGGTGTACACAGAATGCTACAAAATTATACTGATAAAAAATTTATTGCATGATTACAGGAAAATGGCGCAATAACAAAGTTAACAGAAACGTATATCGTATGAATCATGAATAGTAAATACTCTTTAACGTGATAAACATGTGAGAAGCCGACCTTTTTACCTTGATCTCGAGTAATTTGTTTTCTCGTAGTTCCAGCTTCAGTTTTGATTAAATTAGATCAAAATTTATTCACAGGAAATCAAAAAAAATGCTTAGCTTGCCAGTCGTGTTTGATCTAAATATGATCAATAAAATCGATGTTTAGTCTTTTTTGTCATATTGTCCGTGCTTCGATCTAAGGGTGTGGATGTGCGTGCGGATGTGAATGTTGGCGTCAGTAAGAACATTGGTCTTCTCATACCCACGCCCACACCCACACCCCACCCACCCTATACTCACACCCACGTCCACGTCCACATTCAGATTACGGAAGAATTAAGAGAAACTTTATTTGAAAATAAAATGGCTGCTAGAAGCTCAGATGAACTTTTTGAGTTATTGATGTATTCAGGCTAGAGCAAATAAGATAGATTTACTTCATGTGATAGTGAATTAATACAGAAAAGAATAAAAAAGAAACTTGTCTACTGCTTTGTCTATTTAACATTCATACTGATCAAGATTTTCGTATTTGAGTACGTTAACTATACGAGTCGGAGGTTTTGACAGGATTCCACCATTGTCTTTAACATGAAACTCCCAATTTCGAATGGGATATTGAACATGTTCGAATGGATATTTAACTTCCAATATTTTCCCATTCGACTTTTTCACTTTCACGTATGTAACAATTTTGACCCATTTACAATATGATTCAGGTAGATTAGGTTGAAAAAATTGCCGAGGAAAATAGTGTTCCGAGTTGGCAGGAATAGTTACACTGACCGTTTGATCAAATTTTTGTTCTCCTGGACGACCATTATATTTTAGAGTACACTCAATAGGTTGTGCGGTTCGATTAACAACAAAACACGAATAGACATGAGGTGGAGCACGGGGCATTTTGAAGGACGCTGATTGACCAGAAGTATCGTTCTTAGGTGTACCATTATTACTCGTTGAGCCATCATTCATTGTTTCGTGTGATGGACTTTGATCAATCTGCATATTCTTCAACTTCGAGTCGATAGATATTTTTCACTAAAACAATAAACTAAAACTTACACTTACTATTTGCTTTTATTTTCATGTTAAGAAGAAAAGATATTATAAATATAGCCTGCATCTGAGTAAAAAGATTGACAGAAACTTGTCTCATATAACAAGACCAACGAGAAAGATATGAAAGAAAATGGTGAACAATCTTAATTTCTCCAATGCTAGAGTATTCTTCGAGATATTTAAGAGTCCATATCAAGTGCCGAAACTAAAAACTTGATCAGATTCAATGATATGCTCCTCTACACCCTAACGCAATTCCTGGAGATTATTTTATTCTAACTTTTAACACCTTGCACGATCGTCAATGTCTGAAATTGTACCTGATTTTCTTCAAAGTTTAATAATCCTAATACGCACTCAGAAGTTGTTTGTCAGAGACTAGCAATTCATGAAGTTGTCTGCGAATTCAGTATTGATAATAATGGTATAAACTATTAGGTATATTATGCTCACTACTAGTCTAGCCATTAGGATGAAGAAAAATTTTATTTCGGTTGTATAGCGATGTCCCAACATACTTGTCAACGAAGCGGTTTTAGGGACTGAAGTATAGATCTCATATAAATTCTGATATCAAAGCAACATCGATAAATCTAGAATACTCGATTTTGATCGATCATATATTGCATAAAAAAATCATTCACACAGAATATTTAGTCCTTCATCTCCAGTAAATAAAAGGGCACAGGAATAAAAACATTTACACACTGATATTAAAAAAACATTGAAAGAAAAGAGAAGAAATGATTCAATGTCATGCCTTCACCACAAAACAATAAAAGACGGAGAGATTAACGGGTTTAGTTACTTACAATAACTTCAAGAAAACATTTAAAAAGAGAGACAGCGATTAGTGTCTCACACCGATCTCGAAAAAACATTAAAAGAAAAGAGGAGACGTGAGTATATGTCGTGCATTCACCGAAAAACAATAAAAGACCGAGGGATTAACTAGTTTGGTTATTTACAATAATCTCAAAAAACATTTAGAAAGAGAGACAGTGATTAGTGTTTCACATCGATCTCGAAAAAATGTTGAAAGAAAACAGGAGAAGCGAGTAAATGTCGCGCATTTACCGCAAAACAATAAAAGAGCGAGGGATTAACGAGTTTAATTATTTACAGTAACCTCGAAAACATTTAAAAAGATATAAAGTGATTGCATATCGCACACTCATATTAAAAAATATTGGAAATAGAAAGTAATAGTGTAGCAACACTTTTCCCCGTTGATTTGGGTGAGTCTTTCACTTTTTATTATCAAATCAAAGCTTTATAGAAAATAGCATCTCAGACAGATGAATCATACCATAAAATGAGTCTTAATGAGTTTTGTAGTGAAGTTATCGTCGTAAGCATACTGAAATGCTTCTCAACAAGTTAAGTACTATTTTTGTGCATTTATAGTAGTTTTCGTTCACAACTCGAGAAAATCTTTAACTAGAACTACCTCAAATACTATCGCCGTGAATATAATGAATCAAATAAAATGTTTTTGCATTATAATATGTTACTTCTTAGTATTTAGCAGAGACAAATGTTGAACTTTCCTGGAGTATGGATGTGGATTTGAGTCAAGAGAAGGCCTATATCACATCGTTAAAGAGCGGATTATCAATTGTCACATCTGATGAAGACGCTCGAATGGCTAGAGTAAATTGTCCAATAGGCCGTAACCGAATTGATTTTCTACTTTTGGGCTACGTTGCGTCGGTTTCCATATCAGTGAGTCTAAAACGTGGATGTGAAAATGAGTCAAGAGAAGATCTGCAGCTTTGTACACACGTCCGCAACCTAAAAGGCTCTACGTTTTCACAAGACCAGTTATAGATCGTACAGCTGACTGTAAAAAAACACTGGAAAGATCAGTCTCTTTAGGTATTTGTACTTAGGGCATACCAAAAGTTCTAGCCGCAGCGTTTAAACCATCTTTTTGAATAAGGAGATCTATTGAGAAATATAAAACCACATATACCATGTTGTAGAGCTCTTTGAAGCGCATCGAATGATGTATAGTAAATTCTGTTTTCATAAGATTTTGAAGAAACTATAGTCAATTTACTGATAGACAACTACATATTCACACCCAAGCATGATAAAAATCTGAATATTGTGGTTATTGGTATTAGTCGAAAGTATTTGTAAAATATTTTTTTCTTACATATGATTTTGTAGAGTTTTTTGATAGGCTACAACCTTCTATATGTAGCATCTCCAATCATCTTGTCAGTGTTAGTGTATAGTGGTGTATCAATAAATTGACTCTAGATCCTTCAAAGTCCTATGAAAATAAGATTTACTGTGTACCATTCGAGGCGCCGCAAAAAGCTCTAAAACATCGAATATTTGGTTTTTTATTTCTTAATAAGTCTCCTTATCCGAAAAACTCCTTTAAACGCCGTGCCCAGAACTTTTGGTATGCCCTAAATACATCAACATTTTTATAGTGAGTTCAACAAAATCTTCGTGCTGTTTACATCAGTTATTGGTCGTTACTTTATGTCGCTGATAAGTGTATCTTAGACACTTCGCGATAAGACTCTAAATTCCATGAACCATGATATCATTGAACTTGGATTTTGTATTGTGTAGTAATCACTATGAAAACAGTGGATGTATGTTCGTATACGAACAGTTCTTGATTATTACCACTTCTTCCTCTCTGTCTGCTCATTGCAAATACTCCAGTTCACTCATACCCTACCCTTAGAGACATTCTTCTTCTCATAGACACAAGTATTTTCTAATACCTAGCTTAAAGCGTAAAAACTAAATATCTCTAGAAATCTTGTCTTCTGATACATTAAATGTTGATAACCCGTTGATTTGACGCTCTAATGTTTTTTTGTGTCTGTAGTTTAAATTCTATCAAGTGGCTTTGCACTTCCATCCATTTCAGACTAAAACAAGGGATAACATTTATTTTAAAGCACACAAAGAAATACATTCGAAAAGTTCAGCCTAATTTTAGTATTTTCCACTTATCTCCCCATGTTTATTTTCATTATATGTATTTAAATGAGAAACAGCAAGTGAAAGACTCAATGTAAGACCTTGATTTTCGGTTTCATTGCAAGAAATGCCAAAAAAACGAAAGCAAAATCGCTGCCAGAATACTCTGTACTTATCAGAACAGCAGAAGGTCAAATGGTTGAAGCTATAGATTAGCTTCGTAAATGTCATGATATACACAGACATAAATCCAGTATAGTTCATATGGTACGACAACAAATACTGAAAGTAAATGCTATTCAACAAAAATGATCGAGCGTCGAGATGAAACGGCTAGAGTTATTGTTTCAACTGAGAATAGACTTCGAATGTATGTTTGCGTGTTTCGACATCAAAGTGATAGTGGAATGAATGCGACCATTGAATTAAAACCAAACAATGACTAAAGAAAAATGACCATAAGTAGCATAGTAACAATGGAAGACGAACGAAAAAATGCCAATATGATCAAAGAATTCAGCGAATGTGCGAAATGAATAAGTAGAATGAGATGCATTCAATTCGACTTATTCTCATTTCCTAAAGAAATCTCTACATCTTGAAAATATAAACTGTGCTGCTAAGAATGATGGATTGTTAGTTTCATAGATTAGCCTTATTAGGTGCTACGCTGATAAAATTTTTCGAAATTTTCCTCTATCACATATCAGCAGTGAGAGTCTCAAACATTGAAACATATCAAAAAGAACAAAAGAGTCTAAAATTATTCGATTGAAATAAGGATTTATGTAGATAGATGAATGTTTTCATGAAACATATCAGTCATTCCTAAACAATAATATTATCCTGGGGCATTTTGGATCGATGCAACTGAAAACATTTTTGATCCATACATAATGCAGAATAGAAATTTCTTCTACTTTTTCTAGAGGTGATATATTCGAACAGCATGAAATTTGAAAAAACGACTCATTTTCTGAATACAAATAAATGTATTCATCAACATATCAGCGACACAGTCTTTAATGGGAATGGACAAAAATTGGCTGTCGTTCTTGGGCTACAATCATTAACATATTATGAATTACTTCATTATATGCAACAGCTTTTGTTGCATTTGATTGAAACCTATCAAATTGAATCTCAGCAGATCATTTGTTTGTGTGTTGAACAATCGATCGAGATGGTTATCGGCATGGTTTCGATTATGATGTGCGGTGCGATATATTGTCCCCTGAATCCTAAGGACCTCGAAGAGCGACTATTGTCTCAGATTGATCATGTTAACTCAACTCTTGTACTTGTCGATGATAAAACCAAATCAAAATTTTCTGATTCCAAAAATCATTTTTATACGGTTGACATTGGTAATCAACAAAACTGGAGACCATTGACTGATGAAAACGATATCAGTTTATTTTCAAATATGCCTCTTAGTAGTGATGGTATTTCTCATATAATATTTACAAGTGAATCAACTGGTGTTCCCAAAACTGTAAGTAAATCTCTTCGATGGAACTACAATACTTCTATGCAGTTAAAAAAGATTTCGTAAAATACTTAAATCAGTATGTCTGTCGTTAAAATTTTATATTCATTTTAAACAATCGAGTAAGAACATCCTCATATCTAGTAGGTAATATTATTATAATAGATTTTGAAAATACTTTTCATGAAAAAAGCGATCGAATCATCTAACATAAAATATCTATTTGATCACTATCAATGAACAGTTTCCTACCACGAGCTTGTTTAAGAACTCAGGACAATGAATGTTCAACAACTTGTCGTTCATTCAAGAGAACAAAGATTTGATTGTAACAGAAGATTTTTGGCAAAAGCTGTTAGCGCAATCTCTGCCCGATTAAAATGTAAAATACGATGCGGCTGTTATTGCCAATTCCTTAAAAACTGGTCTTGTTAATATATATTAGGACATATGTCTTCATGATTGCTTACTTTACAGTATAGAGTTTCAACAAGAAAATACTCCATATATGCTCCAATTAGATGTTAGTTATACATGATCTTCAATATTATCTTGAAGCCGTCTGTCACGGTCAGTGAGGGGTCCAAATTTCACCCCCATATACTTCAACACTCCTTTCAGATCGTGTTTCACAAAAGAAATATTATATTTCTTGCTCAAGACTTTAAATAAATTAAACAAAACATTGTCTAAGTTTTTTGAGCGAATACAGTATTGAGCGGAACGTTTTTTTTGATTGCCTTTGACATTTTATGATGTATTGAAAAACTTCAGTCTAAGGAAAGCAAACTTTCTGCACTACAACAAATAGAAAGAAAAACAAAGAGAAAAGTAGGGTGCAGAAAAGAACAAAGAAATATTGAACTTCATATTTCTCTATATTTCATCACACTTTTATTGAACGAAAGACGATTAACTTGCTTGATTTGACAATGAAACATATCCACGTGTCAAATCGCTTTTGGATCGAGTATAAACTTAAACAATAGATCTTAATAAGCTATTAAATATCCTACAAGGAGTTGGTTTTTCGGGCCTTCTGAGCTAAGATATACGATTATTACTATTAGTAGTTTTACTTTACTACTGTACTACTTATATTCGATATCTTGACTGAACGTGCTGCGATCCGACTCAAATTTATTTCAGTACTAAGGCAGTCAGTACTGATGAAGATCCCAGAGTTTAAAGATAAAAGATTCTTTCTTATCGAAGATATGAATTTGTTTGGTATACTGATTGATTATTAAAAAATAGTATATGCTTTTGCTCAAAGATGCAAGTATGGATTCACCTTATATTTTCAGTACATATTCATTTTATACTGAGGATGCATGTATAAATGTCAGCTCAATTGTCGATGCTTCACTTAATGAGAATTGCAAGAATAAATTCGTGTGCTTTTCATTATGTGATCTATTTCCAATAACATATTCATAAATCGGAATAGAATCAACAAAAACGAAGAAAATAGAGTGAATCATTTATTCAATCGAATTAAGAGTTGTTGAAAAAATGTTCAATACATAATATACAAGCACAGTAACTGCACCGAATGAACATCCATGAGGAAAAAACACGCACATGCTATTTGCAATATTAGTATATATTGTCTATTGTGATTAAGTATTTATATATTCAGCACGACTATGTGCTCCTCTAGACATTCCTTCTTTCATGTTACATACCGTCCTCTTTTGAACTATATTAGTACCTAATTATCTCTCTTTGCCGATTTCGACCGTCAACGATTCTATGCAAAGAACACATTCAAACAAAAAAAAAAGATTTTATTTCAGTCAGTGATATATACATTCAAGATATCGACATCTTTCGAAAATTAAATTTCGTATATCAGGACCGTGTATTCCATATTGAAAAGTACACGAATTTAGTCTTCCAATTCTCATTAATTGAAGCACTAACAATTGAGCTAACATTTTTACATCCATTCTCGCTATAAAATGAATGTGTGTTGGAAATATAAGGTGAATCCATACTCGCATTTTTGAGCAAAAGTACACGCTATTTTTTAATAATCAATCAGTGTACCAAATAAATTCATATCTTCGATAAGAAAGAATCTTTTATCTTCAAACTCTGAGATCTTAATCAGTAGTAATTGCCTTAGTATTGATATAAATTTGAGCCGGATCGGAGCATGTTTAGTCAAGATATCGAATACATTAGTACAGTAGTACAGCAAAACTAGTAATAGTAATAATTGTATATTTCGGTTCATGAGACATGGAAAACCAAACCCTTGTAGAGTATTTAATAGCTAATTAAGATCTATTGTTTGAGTATATACTCGATCCAAAAGCGATTTGACACCTAGATATGTTCTCTCGTGAGGGAAACGAAGCTCATGGAGTCGATCGGTTATTTTTCGTCAAGTATTTTTCAACTGCATTCAAATGAAAATCATTTTTCAGAGTATTCTTTTGATAGTGTTGTATAAATCGAGAGTATTATTATGTTATGTTAATTTACGAGGAAAGCTATGTAAAAAGTGAATTTTTTGTATTTTAGTTCGTGGTGTTTTTTTTTAAATACTTCTACTTTGATTAATTCAATCAAGAACTAATGAAATTAAAATAGTATATGCTGCAATATGTGAAAAATATAGTAGCTAGTTTATATCTTTTGGTCTCGTTCATGATCCAAAATACCGAGATCGGCAAAATAAAATTGGTTTCATCCATTTTTAGCTTTTGCTCATTGTTTCTGATCGCTTATTGTAGTTATATTAATGAAATATTCTTTTACTCTTATTATTGTCTGATTTGAAGCGATATCATTGTTCAGAGTCTATTCTTGATCACATGGACAAAATTATTTGTACATTTGTTACATCTAAGTGGTTCAAATTTCTTTGATGATGACCATTAATAACGAAAAATCAAGGAATATTTTTGATAGAGTAAAATGTCATTTAAGTTCATCCACAAGAAATACCTGTAAATTTTTTCAACTTCATTCAAATTAGACTTATGATTATTTAGAACGATTAATATCTTCTGATGTATTTATCGTATGTTCTCATTTCTCTCTCGATTACTTGCCATTAGAATTGAAATTTTCTAAAAGTAGCATTTTTTATTAAATGTAGGTTCCCACACCCAAAATCGCAACATGATTAGAGAGAGAAATAGAATAAGACCAATGCATTGATTACTAGATTGTAACTGCTTTTTTGTTTACAAAGCTAAAGAAAAACATTTGTCTTTATACAGAAAAAAACAGAAGAAAAAGTTAACGATGAATATCTTTCGATGTTTGTCGACGACGACGAATATAAAACAAAGCAGATTGCTTAGAGTATAACATTGGCATATAAAACTTTACTGTTAAAAAAAGTAAAGCTATAAGAATTAAAAGCATGATTAATCCATGTATTAGTACATCATTATTATTTGATGCAATCTTTACAAAAAGAGGAAAATCATTTAAAGTAGTAGAAATGTTATAACGTTGACCACCTTTATAAATTTGTTTCGTATAAAAATGTTGCCAGACGAAATTCTGTTTATCAATTTTAGGTAAATAAACTAAACGTGATGTGGCTTGATATGTATAAATAGGAGCAACTAAATAATCTGATCCAAACATATATTGATCTTCAGATTTATAACATTCAATATCATCGTTAAAATCATAAAACATTGGTCGTAGAAGAGGTGTTCCATTTTGATTTGAAATATTCAAATGATATTCAACATAACCACGTAAAGATTCACGCAATTGAATTATATCAATAATTTGTTTACTATAATTAAATAACCATACTTCATTGTGACCACCAGAAAATCCACATTCATTATCTGGCAAAGGTGGATAACGGTAACCATGTAGACGAAATAGAGGACAGAATGCTCCAAATTGAAACCATCTCAATATTAATTCTTGAAATTCATTATCATCTAAACCAACAGGACTATAACCACCAATATCTGTTGTCCACCAATAAATTCCAGATAAAGCAACATTTTGTGCTACTTTAATTTGTTTTAATAATTCTTCCCATGATGAATCAATATCACCACTCCATACAGCTACATTCATCAAATGACTTCCTATCCATGCTTGTCTACTTAGCATAATTATTTCTTCTTCCTTTTCTTCTCTTAATCCATCCCAAAATGTTCGTTGATGTTCTCTTGTCCATACCATTGCAATTTCATCATCATGTCGACCATACCACCATTGTAAGCCAGGTCGAGGAGATTCTGGTTCATCAGCATCTAACCAATAAATTTTGATATCATAAGCAAAATAATTCTTTTTTATTTTATTCCATATATATTGTCGTGTAGCTGGATTAAATTGATCGGAAATATAAAAAGAAACATTACTAATTGGGCCAGTTGTTGCTAAAATACTTCCATTAGCATCATGGGTCAATAAACCTGTTCTATTCATAGTCATAAAATTTTCAGAGTCTTTTGATACATGAGGCCAAACAGATACCATTAATTTCATTCCATATGATTTTAATTCATTCATCATTTTTGGTATATCTGGCCAACATGTACTATTAAATTTCCAATCACCAAATGCTGACCAATGAAAATAATCGATAACAATAACACTCACTGGTATTTGACGATCATAATAACCTTTTGCTACATCCAATAATTCTTTTTGAGTACGATAACGATTTTTACAATGCCAAAAACCCGAAGCAAAATATGGTAATGGATTTGGATGACCAATAACATCAACATAATTTTTCATAATAATAGGATAGAATGATGAAGAGATAGATTTTTCTTTAGGTATTGTTGTAATCCATAAATCAAGTTGATGTGTAGCATTTGCAGTCCACATTATTTCTTTATCATTTTTAACATCAAATGAACCATAACCTGGTTGATTCCAAAGAAATCCAAAACCTGATGTATGTATATACCATGGAATTGTTATATCACCATTTGTTGGTGCAGTTGATGAAAAAACAAATGGCAAATGAAAATTATGATATGGTAATGTTAGATTATGACCATAATGATGTTGTCCTAAACCATATAGATATCCATTTTGAACATGTGTATAAATCAATGATAATTTGTAAAGAGTATAAATAGGCGAATAAACAGAGACTGGATAATTATATGGCAAAAATGTGGTTGACTGTGTTTGAATAAGAATGAGTCTATCTGACTGACGTTGAATTGACCATGTTTCATTATCATCATTGATGATAAATTTAATATTACCATTAATAAATGTATTTCCATTTAATTGTTGACAATCTTTTTTATCTACCATTGGTTTTTCTGGAAGTAACGCTTGATAATCTGGCGTTTGTATAATTACATCTGGACTAAGACGTATTCGAATACTATCATAACCCCATGATTCTACTTGTAATTGTTGTTTTAGACCATTCAAATATATATTTTTGGTAAATATACAGAGTGATTTATCATCACATGAAATTAACTGAAGAATAAGCAGAATAATAAGTTCATAATAATATTTATGGATGATCAATATCAACATGGTGAGTTGATTATACTAAATAAAAAGAATAAAAAAAAATACGATTAAATAAAAGCTTCTCTTAATAACAAAGAAAGAAAAACAAGTTACAGGTCACTAGCCTTCCACGTATCAGACACGTTATGATCATTTTTGTTTCATTCATTCTCTTTCTTTCCATACAGTCTCACAGGCCGAAACGCATGTAAATGAAGGAAAAAGAAAAAAAAGCGGTCGTTTTCGCTTATAATCTGGAGCAACTGTTGTGAGCAAAAACGACTACCTTTTGTCTTTTCTCTCCATTTACACGCTTGTTTGGCATTTTTGTGACTGCCTCAGTTCTCGATACTTCTCTCTCTTTTATTCTCTGTTCATTTATGCAGACATATATTTTGTACAGGTGATCTCCCTTTCTGAGTCGTCGTGTATTTTCTCTTTATACAGGATAATCCAAAAAAAAACTTACGGCATTTAGCAATATTCTTTCTGCAATAGATAGAGCTGGAGAAAATCTATTAGATAGAAATATTTCTATTTTGAAAAAATTCCAGCATAACTATAGACAAATAATAAATTCGTTAGGTATGAAATGAAAGTTAAAACGGTATATTCTCATTAGAAAGCAAATAAAAGATCTCTTTTTAATAGTTACTGTAAGTCATCAAATGTTGATGCAGTTTCAAGAAGATAAGAAAGCGGGGAGGTAACTATTTGAATCTAATATAGACAATGTAGATTCGACATTCCTCTATCGGATGCGAATATCAAAATAAAAATTTCATCGTATTGATATATTGTTTTCACGTTGGATGTGGGTGTGGCGAATACAAGGTCACCACCAAGACCTTCGCACATATGCTCCTCCTCTATTCTATATTTCAAAAACTTTATCCATAGTCGTTGAGAGAGAATTTTCATGTTGTGTGTGGGTATGGACGCGAATGTGAGGGAAGGATAGCTGTGATATGTGCATGAATGTAGACCTTTTCTTCACACCTACACCCAAGGGTGAAAAGCATATTTCCGTACTTCTATGTATTGCTAAGTATTTGGAAACACCAAGAAATACACGCAAATAGTTAGAAATACGAAAAAATGGAAATATGCTTTTTTTCTCCATTGCTTACACCACACTCATACCAACGACCATAGCGATTCCACACATCTCGACACTCATATCCATACTTACATACATTCACATCCTTCTCCGTTAAATAGATTTTTCAACTCTTAGAATGTTCTGAAAGTTTCAATCAAATCTGTCCGTTCCTTCTCAACAGATTGAGTACTGAAGAAAAATTGGACTTTTTTGTGGTATGACTGTTATCTTTTTCGAATATGCAATATATAGAGAACAAACTATTTGATTTGACTGAAACTTTCAAGATATTCTAAGGATCGAAAAATCTACTGATGAGCATAAATTCTTCTTTTTGATTTTTCTATCAGTACCTTGTTGTAAGCCAAAAATGTGGTAAAATGGGCATAGTTTGATTATGAACATCTATGAAGAGACATACGTTCAGGCTCCTTCTAGTCTTATTGAGCCTTATTTATGAGAAAAAACATAATATCAGTCGACGATTAACAGTTGAATATGTTTTCTCTTTTATCAGAAAACTTTTTCATAAAAATATGTGAGCTCTAACGTTTCACATTAGTAATGAAAATCTCCTATAATTTTATTAATTTTCTAGAGATTTAAACTACTTTCAAGAATCTCTGTAGGTTTCTTTTTCCATATTTAAAAGAATACCTGAGATAGTAGCAGTTTGTATAACTTCTTGATGCATTCATATGATTTAAATTATTTTTGAATTTACAGAATATTTACAAATAAACATAGTTCATCTGGAAACTAACAAAAATTTAATTCTATTAATAATAAACAGTCCCATTTTATTTTAGGAATTATTTAGAAGTATATTATTTTTGAATAACAGAGATAATAAATTTTACAAACAGTGAAATTCAAATATTCAAGAGCAAAGAAAGAATCTCTTCACTAATAGGCAATACGACGGAAATCGCAAACTCGTTGGATAACAATGAAAATATTAAACCACAAAATATTAAATCGATTGGACGATTTACGTAATCAGAATCCTGAACGTTTTCCAAAATCAATTCATGTACTTGCAACTGTTCATGCGAATATAATTGATAAATGAAAGCATCGTTTACGACAGGCAAAGAAATTACAAAAAAGCAGAATGCATTGTTGTCATTCCTTATAAATTGAATGATTTTCATTTGATTGGAGTCTTAATCAAATTTAAGGCAGACGGACAGCTTGAATAAGCTGAATTTATTGATTCACTTTGATCGTCTGGTTTGAACTCCAAAACGTTACAAAGTCAATTTGCTGAGATTTATCCAGGAATTATTTTACAAACAAGAAACGTTGAAAGATGCGACAATCCAAAGAAATTTGCAGCATTAACAATTAAAAACTTATTAAAAGTAGCTGAAGAAATTCAACTTGAACATATACAATATGAAAATATCAATGACTCACAAAATAGAACAATCGATAATAACAATTCAACTGATTGTTTGCCTCTCAAAGAGCAAGCAAATTTTTTTCTGAAAGAGAAAGAAAAGTTAGACGAGTCTTAGATCCAATATATGATGATCCTGGAGAAATGCTTGATTGTCTCCAAGATCTTGATGGTATTGAATATCCAGAAGAAGTTTTTAAATTTTCAATCGCAGAAAAATCAAATACTATTGTACGAGAACAAATGAGAAAATATCAATTAAATATTATGTCTGCAATAAAGCATTATGAATATATACTTGATCAATTTAAATATTATAGTGAACTAATTAATTAAGATTATATCAAACAAATATACAATGATTGTATTCGATATGATCTTTTCGAAGAGTATGAAGAAGGTATTGCAACTTTAAATCGTTCGTTAATGAATCAAATAGTTTTGACTCGATGAAGATATTATACAATATAAAACATCTATCGAACATGTTAAACTTGCAGAAGAATTTAAAAATAAAGATTTAGAAACAGTATATTTGATAATTTACGTCAAAAAAAGAAATAAATGATCCATTTGTAAGAAGTAGTTTAGATAAAATAAAACTTCTTTCGATTTCGTTTTCCGATGTCAATGATCTATATTAAGATATTTGTCAATATGTTGCCAGAAAACTTAATGAGATAGTCATCTCTTTCAAGAGACCAGTTTTTTCTAACAAATTTGAAAATAATGACGTGTGATATAACGAAATTATATGAAGTATTAACCATTCTACAAGATCACTTAGTAGTACGTAAAGATATGTGGAATTCAAAAAATATTTAAATGATTCTACAGAAAAATAAACGATATAGATTGTTGTATGTTGAAGTCTATTAATGATACTTTCGTACTTCAACCATACATTCCAAAAGAAGCTATAAAAAATCAAATTTATGTAGATTTTTCATCGAAAATCAAGAATTATTTTGAACAAATTATTCAAAAAAATTCCTATCGAATTTAATAAGAAAAATATTCTCAATAAATTAGAACAATATATGATCAGAATAATAACTAGTATCGAACTTAAAACTAATAAATCATATTATAGTACAATAGAAAAATTGATTGAATATATAAATGAGATAAAAAAGAGATATATTGAAATACTTTTTAAAAACTTTATTTAGACAAAAAAAGAAAATTTTGATTGTAAGAAGTTTACAAAATATTTATCTAGTCTAAAAAATGCACAATAGATAGAAAAATATCGAAATGAAATACATTCAGAAATAATTCATAATGTCGAAGAACAAATTATTCAACATGTCAAACAAATGAAAACTTCTGTTATGGAGGTTAATATAGACCTTAAAAATTTTGATAAAATTATTCTTAATATAGATGCAGTTAATACTTTATTTAAAGACGTAACAAATAATGTATATTTGTTATTATTAAAGATACATTTAACGTAGATAACTGAAGAGAACATGAATATCAATCTTTAGATTTCAATAAAATAGACAAAGAATTCAGTTATTTTGATGTTTGTAAAAAAACAATTCATTTATTATTTACAAGTAATTGCGGATCTGTTCTCGATGATTTAGAAGAGTTTATAAAATATTTTAGTAGTTATGTTGAACAAGAAATCGAAAGTTATTTTAAAAATATTATCAAATCGATTACAAGAAATATCTGAAATAAAAACATAATACGTACGTATTTTTAATTGTCGAACGAATAGAACGTTTCTTAGAAGGATGTAAAAGCTCTCTGATACCTGTTAACAATTTTTTCGGAAAGTCGATAAAAGAATTGATTCAATAATAATAGTACATATTTTATTAGGAACATATTGTACAAAGAAAACTTCGAAACAAATCGAAGATCTCAGAGACAGCCAAAGTGATGTTATCAATATGTATTCAAAAATAGATATTACTAGCTATAACTTATGTTAGTCTTTATCCACTAACCTTTTCCTGATTTCTTTCTTCTTTCAAAAACACAACTAACTAAAATAAAAACGTTCATTATTCATGTTATCCAATCAGATGGAGAACAAAGGATGAGAATAGATAGAGCCACTACCTAACAACTTTAATCTACCAACAGATATTTTTGCTAAATTTCAACAAGTGAGCAATACAAATCCGATAGTACATACTTTACTAGTCTATGTGACATAACATATCTTTTTCAACTATATCAAATCGTAGAAAGAGCATATTTGGCTAAGGTAAGAAAGCAAAACATTACTCGAGTTCAATATGAAACTTGTATATATTTGTTTGATAGAAAAATCTTTTATTACTATCATCATATATAACATTACACTTTCTTCATCTTTATAAAAGACACACACACAGTTGCCTGTTGTAAGAATATGTTGTCTTTCATTTAATTTTTATTCTAATACTCGTGATAGATTATCAAAATGTTCAGCGGTACCACTACTGATGACTTTATTTCTAAGACATTTATTTGTTTATATGTCATTTATTGAAAATCTCTCTGTTGGTGTAAAAGATC